CTAGCTGAGAAGTAAAAGCTCCGCCTTAAAACATAATACTTGTATCTAGCTATAGTCACATGTAAGAAGTATAAATAAATTCCTAAACTTAAATTAGTGAATTCTAATAGAATTTCTATGCTTGTCAAGCCTAGAGTAAATGATTCAATATATTCACCAACTGTTTAGGAGAAAAGATATGGGTTCAAAGGGAATAATTACTGGGTGAAAATAAACTATGGCTAAAGTATAAAATAAATATAAAACAGCAGATCTTTACTCATAAAGGCAGCATCAGCAGGAGTTATTTTTGAAAGGTGAAAATAAGTTCCAATCCACTTAACAGCAGTACTCTTCACATTAATGCTTTCCAAAGAAAAGGATTTATTTTACTCTACAGAAAAACTTCAAGAATACTACTTGCAAATTACTCATACTATTAATTAGTCAATTACTGCATATTTTTCAGTTGGTCTTCAATTAAGAGTAAAATATCTTGAAAGTTAAAAACATTTCATAATGTCACTAGCTCAAAACGACCAGTATGTTTGGAATAACATTTACATAACGCATATTATCCACCAGACTCTACATCATTTAAATACACAACTTACTTAATATTCTCAAGGTACTATTACCACCCCAAGCTAGATAACTTGCTTATATAGCCAATACTAAGTGACACACTCTGAATTCCAAGCCAGGCTGTCTAGTTGGGAGCCTATACGTTCAACCACTATTCCATCCCAACTCTTAAGGGAAGTGATTCAGCCAGAGTCTGTTACACATTTGAAAGCCACTGTGCAAACTATAAGCAGTGAGTGTTGTCAAATGTGAAAACTTTTGCTCATTATGAAAGTGAATGTGTGAGTTTCAAGCAACAGAAATGGAAAGTGAGCATAATAAATATGCCAAAAGATTGCATGGTATAAATGCTAAGAGAAGAGAATGGCACTTAAATCCTTGAGCTGTGATGTCACCCTGAGATTGCTCTCATCCAAAACAAACACAGGGAAAGCAAACGGTCATATTCAACATTCAAGGTCATACCATTTAAATTATGTACATCAACCGGAAAACCACAGTAGCATCTCCCATAAATTATGCCCAAAGACAATTGTCTCACTAACCTTATTCCAAAACATTAAAGCTGCTTTCTTCTAAAATAATTAACTGATCAAATTGGTTAAACAACTTTATCGTTTATTGGTCAACAAGATTCACATACCTTAAATTTTGACTTTCTAAATAAAAAGAAGCATACAAGCTTAACTCTATGATATTAGCCTGAAGTCAGCCAAAAAAAAGCATGACTCTTAATAAATGTGGACCTACTTTCCCTTGAAGACGCCTTTGAAAGGAGCAATAGGAGGGAGAGCAGTACTTCTCTAGAACCGAATTTCAAAGGCCTGATTTGGTCCTTGGTCCTCACAGGAAGAACTAGACAACTTTTTGCCTTCATTTTCCATTGTGAGATCCTAAATGGGAAAGTCAGCCCAGGCTATGTAGTTCCCCATGAGGTAACAGATGCAGGAGAAGCCATAGCTCGAGGAATGTAGGACACAATGGTCTGTCTAAGTGGATGCTGTGAACTTCAGCAGCAAACTTTAAAAAAGAAAAACCTTCAGCAGAGGTCTCAAAAATCAGTCAGCAAACTTCTTTCAGCTGGGTCTGCTGCATTAACGAGAGAATAGAACACAGCTGCTAATTTGGAATTAAATACTTTGGTGAGGAACGTTTATTATTATAAACTAGAAAGCCACAGTTTATAAGAAATAATTGGATGGGACAATAAATGGCATTTTTCATACATGACTCAACACTGTGTGGATTAAAAGCAGCTTAAATTAAAAAAGGAATCCCTTGAATTAAATGGCTTTAAAAAATGGTTTTAAAGCCATTTAAATGCAGAAAAACTATGATACACCTATTTTGTCTAGCAGGTCTTAAAATCCTAGTGGTTGACCTTCTTTTAAAATTATGATTTAAAATTATGACAACTGTAATGTAAAATTAGCCAAACAAAAATAACAATCTAGTAAACAATGCAATTTTATCTGGTGCACTTTTTAACAATATTTTTGTTAGTCAAATGACTCCTTTTCTTTGCAAAAATCTGCCTTAGTTTACCTGATTATGTATGCAGTTTCTGTATAATATCCAATATTTGAATGAATATTCAAAAATCAATCATCTCATTAATATTTTAAAAATATACCTGCTTAACAAGCCACGTTGAAGTTTTTCAGCTACACTAGCTTGTTGGCTCTCTAGAAATAAAACTACTGAGTCAAGAGTTTCTAAATATTTTCTCAGCAAGTGAAATCTGTTGTAAAACCCAAGACATATAGGCACTATCTCTATGTCAGGTTCTGAAAATTCCACTTTGCTTACAATGATAAATAAAATAAACCTATCTATATTTTGGTAAGGGAAAGAATGATTTCACCAAGGGAACGCTATAGACACACCACCATATCTAGAAGAATACACAAGAGGATTATATTTCCCACAAAAGCTAAAAGAAGCAATTGATTTTCTTTTTCGGTCAACGGAGATTCAGAAGGTGAAATCAGGTTCCCGTGCGCTCCGGGAACATCATTCGCAACATCAATCATCAACGACCCAGCGAAGCCCAGAACTGAGGGTTAATACGGAATGAAAAGAGATTTTTCCCTAAATATATCACTTTATCTGCACATATTTCAGGAGTTCCAAAAGCAATAATCTTCCAAACAAAATATAATACAGAAATTGAGTGATCAGAGACTACTTTGGATGAATTATGGCAGGATTTAACTGACATGGAGTCTAGGTCGCCATCTTACAAAGAAATCCACGGCGTGTGGTCATTTTGGCCTCTTCATAAACACCCATGATGGGGGGGCTCATGAATTCACAATATAGCCCACAGATTTTCAGAAAGCTCTGTTAGAAAGCTCATCTTCTTAACGAAGATAAAGATGCCTCATCCTTCAAAAATTTCCATAGATTCATCTTAGTTTTGTGCAGTGGAGTATTTACAGGATAGTCAGAACTCCTTTTCTTACTTGATAGCTTTTCAATATTTAATGATAGCTTTCATGCCCTCACTTTTCCAAGTTAAGTCTTTCCGCTGGATTTGATAGAATATATCTACAATACCCAAGAATCTCCCTTCCTTTCTTTTCTAGATACATTCTTGCTGTTAGAATTATATTCTGCCAGGGTGCATCCCAAAATGTAGTGCTCAGAATGAATACAACATTAAAATGGGGTCATCACTGCCAACCATAACAGGACCATCACCTCCTAAGATGGTGCCATTTGTCCAATTTAACAGCGCATTAACTCTGGCAGCCACTTTCCACCACAAAAACCAAGCTTGTGGCCAACAAAACCATGGTCATTAATTGCGCAATGGATCTCTTGAACTCAAAACCAGAACTTGATATGTACAGCTATAAGATAGTATTATGGCATCAAATATGTTAACACGAACCCCTATATTTGAGCCTCTGCTACATCACCTTGAGAAATACCAAGATACTCTGTTTCCTCCCTAATTCCTGTTCTTCATTTTCATAGGCTATTGAGCGTCAGCGACCTACAAGACAACCTTTACATTAGCCCAGCTCAAGTCATCAGCTGTTAATACTCAAGAACTCCCAATGGAAACGTTTTCTTGTATGCCAATTTACATTCAAGAAATTTCGCCTGAGACTTATTTTTCACTTGTTTACTTTTAAAACTGGTTTCATAGAGAAGAGCATCTCCCTATGAGTGTTTCTGGACAGCTGATCATGCAGTAAGACTAAGTGATTGCTCAAACGCAGGCAGTGACGCGCTCCATTCCATCTCTGAGGCAGGGCAACCGTAAGATTACCAACAAACTTTCACATTGAGATGAATATACACACAGACATACACACCACACATGCAATGTGCCTGTGAGTGTGGAAAACGAAGATAAACTATTCTATTCCAGTTAAAGTGGTCCTCTTTGCAAGAAACTTTTCTCTCACTCTTTCCTCTCTGAAGCAAAGACAGTCATTGAGGTCTGCGAGATCTCAGTCTCCCTAAATCCTCATTACAGCCTTCAGCTGAGGCTCATCCAAGCCAGGTGGGAGCTGAGGCAGCCTGAAGTGTAACCAGCTGTTTACCCAGCTCCTGCTCACAAACACCTCCTGCAAATCCGAGGCCAGGGGACAGTACAACCACACTGAACTTGCAGTCAACGAAGGCGACCCCTGAGGAAAGCACACTCGGGGAACCACGTCTCCCCTCCCGACCCCCGGACGCTGGGACCCGCTCCGCACGCCGCGCCGCCTCTCGCGGGCCGGCCAGGGGCGAGCGCCCGGGTTTGTCAGCGCGCACGTGACTCGCGGGGCCACGTGACTCGGCCCGGGGCGGGGGAGGGGACCGAGGAGTGCAGCAAGGGAAAAGTTCAGGAAGACCCGTCAGAGCGCCCAAAGCAATCTGTCCCTTGCCGCTCCGTCCGCTAGCGGCTCCGGCATCCTTAGGAGAGGGCTGCGGATCTACGCGCTCCCCAGCGCAGCTCCCGAAAGGGGGGGCGTAGTTCCCCGCTCGCCCCGCCGCCCCCCTCTCGTCCCCGGCCCTGCTGGTGTTGCCGCTGCAACCTCCAGTTGCTCCTTCCTCCTCTTCCTCCCTTTCCCCCATCCTTCCCTGCTTCCTTCCCCCAAAAGCGCATCACCCACTGCGGGCGATGCCACTGACGCACATTCAATTTGCCCCAGGAGCTCGCCTTCACCTCGGAGGTCAGACCAGGCCGAACCTCTTCCAAAGGGCAGGATGGAACTGCGCAAACAAAGTTGCACGCCACACCGCCACCTGCCCCTCCCTGCCAGGCAGCCCCCCGTTCGCCTCCCCTGCAGAGCTCGCTCGCTCCGCCGGCGTTCTCTCGACCTCGCCCCGCCATCGCGCAACACACCCCCTTCCTCGCGCGAGCCCACCCTCCCGCCGCCCCGCGCGCCGAGCGGTCCGGGCGCCCGGCACAGCCCCGAGCCCGCCGCTGCGCTCACCTTGCTTGACACACTTGAGCCGGAGGGGGTCCTTGCAGTGTTTGATGACGGCCAGCACGTCCCTGATGGTGAGCCCCGCCACGGGGGTCTCGTTCACTTCCAGCAGCAGCTCCTCCGACACCAACTTGCTGCCGCTCTCATAGGCGACCTTGCCTGGCTTCACCTCCCCCAGGTAGGGGAACTGTCCGTTCTCCGCGCCCCCCTTCAGTTCGAAGCCCAGCTGGCCCTCTGGGTTCCTGCCAATGACACTCTCGTGGACTTTGCTAGTCCAGTGGCTTTTCTTTTTCAAGCTTTTGGACATGGCAGTGGGGTGAGTCGCCTCAGCTCCTGAGGGGTTCCTTTGGGCTGGAGGGGTTGGTGTGAGAGAATGAGGATGGAGGAGCGAGGGGGGCCAGAGGTGACAGGAGCAGACTTTGCTCCCTCCCTCTCTGCTCGGTGCTTTGCCTCTTCTTTGGATGGAGTGTGGACGAGGAAGGGGGAGGATGCGAGGGGCGGCTGGGCAGAGGTAAGGGAGCTCGGGGAGGTGGTGCCGGCCCCGGAATGACACTCAGGGCTGTGGCCCCGCGGCGGAGGAGAGCTGTGGCGGCGGCGGCAGCCGGAGCCGAGCTGGTGAGCGGCCGGGTGGGGGTGGGGAAGGAGGGTAGGGATGCCGGGGGCCACTCCTGCGCGCGGCGAGTGGGAGCGCGCGCGCCCTGGGTGTGTGTTGTTAGCTGATATCCATGGCAGCTGCAGTGGCAGCGGCAGGGGCCGTGTGTGTGAGTGTGTGAGTGTGTGCACTAGTTGTACTGGACTGGCAGGAGGGGAGGGGGCAGGGGGGCGGGAGCAGGCTGGAGGGGGAGCAGGGGCGCGCGCGCGCGCCGGGTGGGGAGCCGCTCCGCCGCCGTCTCTCTCGCTGGCTCGCTCCCTCCCTCCCTCCGCAGCTTGACCCGGTAGTGAAGGCGGGGAGAGAGGCAGGCTGGGTCCGCCTGGCGGCCTCCGCGAGGAGGCGGGAGCGGAGAGGAGGGCCCCGAGGCCCGCGCGGGGAGGCCGCAGGGAGGGCGGCGGGGCTGCGCGCCCAGGACGCCCGCCTCCCCCGGTGCGGCCCGGGCTGCGGCGACGCGTCGTGGCCTGGACGAGGGGCGCCGGGGCCAGCGCTGCGGCTGTCGGTCCGGGGGTCCTCCTGCGAGGTCCTCCTGCGGGGTCCTGCGGGATGCAGGGGCCGAGCTGGCGGCGGGCGCGGGACTGCGGGGCGGGCCTGGGCGCAGGAGTTCCCAACTGCGACAGGCTCTGCCTCCCCGTATGGACGGACCCGACGCCGAGTTTGTAGAATGCCCCTCCGAGGAGCGGGAAGTTGCGGAGAGCCGGGGACCGCGCGGCGCGGGGCGGGCAGCCGGCAGCATCCCCCGGGCGGGGCTGTCTGGAGAAAGGCGACGCCGGGGAGCGAGGGCAAGGGGCTCCGCTTTTCCGTGTGAGGGGAAGCGGAAAGAAAGGGGCAGCGGGTCGGGGTGGGGCAGCAGGGAGCAGCCCCCTCGGAGCAGAGGACCCTTTAACCCGGGACCTGCGGTGGAGACGGCAGGGGCACGCCCTCGGCCAGCAAAGCCCGCAGACTCGGGGTTGTAACCTGGGAAGAAGCCTTAGGATGACCCGGCCGGCCAAGGTCCTGTGACAGAGAAGGCAAAGACGGCTCCGAGGGTGAGCACAGAGGCAGCACCGGAGCTGGAACTCAGCTCGCTGCCCGCAGCCGGCGCCTTTCCCTTCACCGAGTTTGCAGTCGCGAGGAGAGGTGAGGACAGGGGCGCAGGGACTCAGGAGGGCTGCTGGCTTTCCCTCAAACCCTGATGTCGGGTGAGATGTGAGCGGTGATTTTTAAAAACTCCTGTAACTGGTAAATGAATTTCATTTGCTTTCCTTTCAAAGGATACGTTTAAGACAAAAAAAAAAAAAAAAAAAGTTGCACACCCACTCAAAGCAAAGCATGAAAAGCACTCGGGGTTCTTGCTGTCTGAGATGAAGACAGTGTGGGAGGCCACCAGTGAAGTTCAGAATGCGCAGTCGACCCAAACAAAAGGAAGACCGGGTTTGAATGCAACCTCTGCCACCTACCAACGGTGTGGTCTTGAGTCAATCGCTTGACCTATCTGAGCCTCAGTTTACTTATTTGTTAAACAGGGTTAAAATTACCGTTCTGGTGGGGCTGTGATGAGGATGAAATGAGGTCATGCAGCAAAGTGCTTGCTTGCCTGGCTTAGGCGGGTAGGCAGTCAAAATGGTAATTTCCTTCCTTTTTCCCCTCTCAAGTATAACTCACTGTTTGGGGAAGTGTGGGATCAAATTTAGTCAGAGCTGGAAGAGAGCTGAAAGAAAGATGATTTGTTTAACCATGTGTCTTTTTTCACTTGAGAAAACGGATCCCCAGTGAGCTGGCTACAACAGAAGAGAATTCTTCATTGAGCCAGGGGGCTGTGCTGGGATCTGACACGGGAGCTGCAGGCAGTGCCCAGAGAGGGCAAGACTGGGGAGCAGAGCCCAGTATCACCCAGAGAAGCTGGGTGTTAGCATTATGAGACCCAGTCCTAGGTGCAAATTGATACTGAGGACTGAATACGTATTTTTCAAACGCAAATTACAAACCAACATGTGTGTAATACTAACGATGGTCCGGTTCTAACTGCGTGCCAGATGTTATTCTCTAGGCTTTATATAAATTTATTTCTCCTGGCATCTTAATAAAGTAGGAACTATTATCATTTCCTTTTACAGATAAGGAAACTGAGGCATACAGAGATTAACTGTTGCAAGGCTGCAAATTTAGTCAATGATGAAGCTAACATTTCAGACCCAAGTGTTTTAGCTCCAGTCCTGGTCTCAGTCACCGGGTTCGTCTCTGCCCCGGTGTACTTACCATGTCATGCCAGCAATCAGTACATAGTGTCCCCACAGATTGGGTCTGTATTTTATTGCAGAGGTAATTAGGAAAAAAGAGAACGAATGGAGCAGGAGTTGGACAGAAAAGCAAATTTTTACCCTCCAGAACCCAAGACGGTCATTGAGGTGCGTGCCACCTGATTTAGTGCTTCTCAATTCCTGATTCATCTGCTTTGCCCTGAATTGCGATCTTGAGCTGGAACCTGTCAATGCTTCTTTGTTGTCACTTGGCGCGATGTCAGGGCTTGTCAGTAAAAGATGCTGGAGGGACACTTCGTAATAAAGGGACTTTCCTTGGTTTCCATGCTTTTCTTCTTGCTCCTAGGGTGTGGTGGTCATTGGGTGGCTTTCTAGTCAATAGCGTGCAAGAAAATAGTGTTTCACAACCTCCAGTAAGTTTGGCTGGTTCCCCAGTGGTTGGCTTCCCGGTGAGCCTGCTGGCATCCCAGGGAGTGGCTTCCTCACCAGCCCAGTCTGTGACACCTCAGTGAATTTCTTGGCCGTCAAGTGGGCCATAGCCACATTGTCTCCAATGACGTCTGTCTCTCAGGCTTTGTAGGGCAGAGGTTGGGGAGGAGGAGTTCTTCTAAGTTATTCTCTCCCAAAGCCCTGGAGATAGGGGCTGCTCCCTAAATCCACTATTCCTGTATTCTTTAGTGATGTCTTCTCTCTTTGTAGCCCATCCCCTTTACTAGTTAGTAATACTTTGTACTAAATTTTCCCTGTTCCGGTTATAGTGTGATTTCTGTCCTGACTGGACCTTGACTGATACAAGGCGTAAGGGGATCATGTAGATTCTTGAGGAGAGCACTCTCCTGGGAGCCAGAAGTTGGGATCCTGCCTTTACCTGTGCAACCTTGACTAAGTCACCTAACCTCTCAAAACTTGTCCCCTCATCTGTGAAAAGGGGGTGATAATGTAATATGACAAGGTCATGAGAGCATCATGTAAAATTCGAATGCATTTTAAATGCACTTAAATGTCAATACGCTTTAAAACTGTAAAGTGCTACCCAAATTAAAGGTGTTAATTATCAGTATAGGAACAGAGAGTAGCAAAGAAGATGGAGATATTTTCTTTAAGAAAAAAATTATATGTATTCTGGGACTTATTGGATTGTTTCGTGGGGGGTGTGGTGGGCAGCATTTCCTGTAAGGTTTATTATCATTCAAGTAAATATATATTATTGGTTGGTTGGTTGGTTGACTTTGCTTAGCTTTTGAGAGGTGAAAGGAAATACTTGCAAGTCTCAAGTTGTTCAATTTTCCAGCTCTATGAAAAATACAACTGAAACGACGACCATTTTGAAATGCTAGATTCCGTCTAATTTGGTTGCTTTCTATTCTTCTCTCCTTCACGTTTGCTTTATTTCTCCTTTGTCTCCTTTACCCTTTCTGGGTTTGATGCCCGCGTCAGGAAAGAATTATTTCATCCTTGAGCACTCAGTGTGCAGAACATGGCGCTAGATATTGCATGCTGTTTCAAAAGAAAAATAGTTTAGGAACCTTAAAAGCTAAAGGAAGAAAAGCATGAGTGCGTTCAGTCCTTGGAACAGTTCCATGAGCAGGGTGCTTGTGACAGACTCACTCGGGATCACTTGATCCCCAGGACCCCTCTGCCTGGGCATCCTTCCCCCAGCTTCTGAGTTTGCTCACTTCTCAGGGCCAGGCCCTGAGACTCTTTGGAAAACTGCCCCTGAATTCCTGGGCTCCTGCCTCTAGGCACAGAGAGGCAGAGGGAACCACCTGGGCCTTTACTTTCTTCCCAGGATACCCCTTGCCAAGGACGGCCCTATACAGTATAAAAGCCCAGCCCTATTGCCTCTTGGGGGAAGAAAATCCGAGGTGTAGTTTATACCCCAAGGCTCTCTTGCCTGATCAGGCTCATTCTAAGATTTTGCCTGAAGTTGCTTCCTTGCCTGTCTGGCTTCCGCTGGTAACTTACGTGTTTTTCCTGAGAGCCTGTCCTTAATAAATCACTTGCACTCAATCCTCATCTCAGGGTGGGCTTCTGAGATCCTGACCTGAGACATGGCGGTTCCTTCTTACAGATGAAGGAACTGAGGCTCAGGTATTTTAGATTGCACGAAGTCAAACTACCACTAAGGGGGGCAGTTGTGATTTGATCCATGTCTGTGTGACTGCAAAGCTTCTACTCCTCATGCTGTGTCACATCGAAAGTCCCTAATACCTGGTATTGATAAATTAACTGTCTGAACAGAGGGGACACAAAACTCAGCAGTTGATTGATCAACAGTCATAAAAATTGTATCCCTATGTTAAGAGATCTCTGAGTGTTTGAGGGGGAAGAATAAGCCGTGGGCAGTAAGACCAAACCGTGATGTCCTTCATCCAGGAAACCTCATAAAGGGTGAGCCGTGTCTACCCAGAGGTCTGAAGACAGGTCCCACATTTTGGCAGAGAGTGTAAATGTTCAGTGTGATTTTCGCTATTTCTCTCTTACTTTTCTAATTGCTTCTCTTTTTTCATATTATTATTCCCTCTGCTTTCCAAGAGCACATTTTATTTTATCCTTTTTTTCTCCATCTCCTTACTATATACCTTCACTTTCTCATCAATTCCCATCATAAATTTTAAAATGTTTCATATTCTACATATATTTTTAATGTGATGTCTATTGCCCATATTCTAATCCTGCCTGCTTTCTTTAATCATTTTAGTATGGATTTAAAATGACAACAGTTTCGGGGCTGGCCCCGTGGCCGAGTGGTTAAGTTCGCGCGCTCCGCTGCAGGCGGCCCAGTGTTTCGTTAGTTCGAATCCTGGGCGCGGACATGGCACTGCTCATCAGACCACGCTGAGGCAGCGTC